TAAGTGTGATGTAGTTCCAGCCTTTGACACCATTCAAATCTATAAGATGCCCCTACTAGCAATTAGCTCTACCATCTGGATCTACAGCATGTGCAGACCAAAGTATTTCAAAACTAGATCTTCTTATTTTAGAATCCTGTTCTAAAAATAAGAATTTCAATACATCCAGCTGGAGAGATCTGGTGAACTTCAGTTTAAATGAGCAATTTGAAGATACTATGAAATAAGATAATTCAAAATGTATTTTCCAATCTTTGATATATCAAAGAGCCTTGACACTGGTAGAGTTATACATAGTGTGGATAGACAATGTCATATCACTTTTGAAGATGGATTCTCTTCAGCACATGCCTATTTTACATTTGCACGATTGCCCACAGATGGTCCCGTGGAAACATGGCAAGCATGAAAAATACTCTGGCAGCAAATTCCCATCAGCACTGACTTTTTCCTTGTGCCTTTTTTTTGAAAATGTTGTTCAGGGTCTTCTTCTCTTCTTTGAGTGAGCCAAAAAATTAGCTCATGGCCGATAATAAGTACACTAGAAAAAAAGTAATCTGACATATGGAAATGAAAGCCTCATTACTTCCTTAAAGTTTCCTGGGGTACACCTTTATAATGTACTCAGTGAGAAAGCCTGAAATTGAAATTCTGAAAGGATCACTCTTTTAATTACCCTCAAGGCTAGCCAAATCTGGTTTCTAGAGCCATTATCATCCTAGAGAATTGTATTTCTTTCCATAGTAAACCAATGATCATTATTCACATTTGATGGAGGCTTTAGAAAAACAAACAATTTTATAATAGTATTATATGTAATATGTTACATATAATATTAATAATGTAAGTAACATTGAAACACACACCAAAAAATCTTATCTATTTTGTTTAAAAGACCAGTTTAAATTTTAAACTCTTCATTTGCAGGAAAGTTTCAAATAAGGATATGAAGGCAAGTGGTGCTAACTGACTGCTATCATTATGTAACTTGATAATTTTCACATTGGTTAATAACACATAATAATGGTGGTAATCAGGCCCACAGATGGATACTTATCCACATCAGGAAACATAACCAATTTTAATTTAACTCTATGGGGAATGAGTGCAAGGGGAATCCATTCCCACAAGAGAGGCAGGTGGTAAGTAGATAGATTCTGTACAAGATTACTAAAATGCATCTATTATATCGGGTGGTTGTGCTCACTGTTTTTTAATATTTAATTACTATATGTGACACAGGGAAATGTCCCTTTTTACTATTTTAACTTTGAAACTTATAGAAGCTATTCATCTCAGAGTGAACTTTTAGAGCCCATTGTGGAAACAAGACATACTAACACACTGTGAACAAAAATAATCTTTACTCCTCATACATCCATTGCAGTTTGCATGGTTTCTGAGAAAAAAAGAAAACAAAACTAAGTATGGTATGCCTTTTTATTTCGTTAAGAAATATAGCAGGAGAAAAAGATGTAGAAGTTATGTATTGTGTATTGAAGCTCCTTGCATGTCTCATACTGCCCTCTAAGGAAGATTTCAACCTGGAAACTATTCATCACTAAAGACCTCTAAGGTTACTTACATAAGTGTGTACAGCTGTATATTAGTAATAGTGTATATTAACACTCTTTTTACTGAACAGCACTAGTGGTAGCATGATATCTGAGGTGATAATATTATCTTTCCTACATTATTGCCTTTCTGCTAACATGTAAAACCTGTGGTCCAGGTAACCTAGACTGACACATTTGAGCCTGTCACTTTCGTGATTTATTTCCTGCTATTTCCTCCATAGATGGTTCACATCTACTCCCATATGCTAATTCTGTTCCTACCAATTCCTCAAATGTTTCACAAAGTTTATAAAGCCCTGCCCTAGCTTCCCAGCTCTTGGCACCCTGTCTCTAGAGACAAAAAAATAGAAATAAATGAAAAATAAACTCCAGCTATTAAACGAACCAATCACCATCCTTCCATTCCTTCAAAACAAACAAACAAAAAAACAACACAGCAATCATTAGAAAAAATAAAACCATAAATATACCAGGGTGATGTTAGTAATTTTTTAAAAAATAACAAACAAATATATCAGTCTCTTCATGTGATTATGGTGTACATATTTTTAAGAGCTGTATATCTTCAAAAATACATTGCAGAATTAAAGAATAGATTTGTTTTTACAAGGACATTATTACCTTTCAAGAAAAAAAAAGGCTCAAACTTTCAGTAATTTAGGGGCTAGTTCTAGATAGGATGGCTCTGATCCTGCTTGCTGGTTTGCTTGTATTTATTTCAAAAATAAAGAGTACTATGTTTCTATTACTAAGCTGTTTTTTACTTTGGTATTGATGTGCTTAACTATAATGGGGGCAGAGAGCAAGTCAGCTTTGCTTACTCAGTTTCTAGAGCTTTTATTATCGTAATAATCATTTGGAATTTAACTATGATTATTAGTATTATAATTGATGTTTTGTATTTTACATGTTTTGCATTTTTATAATTGTAATAATACATTATGTACTCTTTTATGTGCTTTTTTTTTTTTGCTCACCATTTTGTCTGTGAGATGAATCCATACTGTTACTTATTGTACTGATCACTTTTAATTTAAGGTTGTCCCTTATTTATGTCTTAAACATATTTATTTTAAAATCCCTGTCAGGCTACTCCATAACATACATTTTATCAGGAATACTGAGTACATAATTCTGTATCAATTTGAATTTCTTACCATTACATTTCTTCAAGTGTTTGAGAATTTTGTTTCATGGTTAGTTTGAGAGAGAAATTGTCTTAGTTTATTCCTCTTTCTTCTCCTATTTAAAGGTGAGTTGGTTGTAAGAGGGCCTTAAGAAGATCTTTAGGCCTCCAGTTTGAATCTAAATCTCCCATAATGTTTTATCACTCCTACTCAGTGGAGTGATGGTTTTAACTAGTGATTTTGATCTTACAAAAATAATTGTTTCATAACTTTACCACTGGTGGCTCAGTGGTAGAATCTGTCTGCAGTTCAGGAGATATGGATTCAGTCTCTAGGTTGTGATGATCCTGTTGAGGAAGAGATGGCAACCCACTCCAGTATTCTTGCCTGGAGAATCCCATGGACAGAGGAGTGGGCTACAGTCCATGGGGTCGTAGAAAGATGGACACGATTTAATGACTAAACAACAAAAACAACAACCCTGATTAGAGCTCTTGAAATGGTAGTATGGTGCTTTTTAAAAGGGTTATCTAAAGAGTTATTGGCCATATTTTGAATTCTGATATGTGTTAATGGGATGCCAAGCAAATGAGAGCTATTACTCAGTAGTAGGGCAACAATACTGAAAAAATAATGGGATGTACTGATATTAGTTAGGACGAGTCATATCATGTGAGTCTAAACTCCAAAGAAGCAATGGTGATTAGACAATCTGATCAAAGCAGCCAAAATTACCTTTTATGTTTGCTTTTTAACACTTGTCTCTACTTCCCTCACCATAACTCACGTGGTTGAGTACTGCTTCCTTCTCCAAACATAGTGTTCATGACTTGTTAGAATAAATTTGCTAAGTGGAAATTTTCAGTATTAATTTGTATATATGTACAAGATAAGAAATTTAATTAAATTTAACTTAATCTTTTTTTTTTTTCCTGTGGTTTAAAACAGTGAGATCAAGGTAAAAATTCTCTAGAGGAACCAAAGAATCATGAAGCTTTGCAAGACTTAAGGAAGTAGAAATATCAAGCCAAGAGAAAGTGAGACAAGTTATTTAGAGGTAGTGAGAGCAAATATAAACAGTAGACAGAGATAAGAGTGACTGAGTTGTCCATGGAGGCAGCACGTTGGAGTAAAGACCAACAGAGTATTCTGATATATGGCTTACATCCTTGGAAAATCTGAAAAGGAGGCCTATTCTACAATATCTTTACTCACAAAAATATTCATATCAACTAAATAAAGTTGATCCTCTCGTCCCTGTTACCTGAAAGAGACTACAATAGGGAAGAATAAATCTGACTCCATATTAGATGTGTTCTATTACTTGTGATTTGTCATGCTGGCTTTGCACCTTTTATAAAAGAATGTTGCCTATAGCCTGAAATATATATGACATTCCATTCTCAGTGTTCTGACCTTAAGGGTCCACTCATATAGAGATAAAAAGTTGCAGAATAGAGAATAATTTTCTTGTTGGAGGTTTATAGGAACATGGGCCGCTGCAAGAACAAAAGATTCTGATACCAAGAAATTTGCAACAACTAACCCTGCCCCTCCCTCACCTTGCTGTTAAAAGTGCCTTGTTGAAGCTCTTGAAGGGTTTGGGGCACTCAGCACCCACCTCCTTGCATGGCACTGCAATGAAACTTTATCTGCTTCAAACTCTGCTGTTTTTAGTTTGTATCACTTCACTGTGGGCTTCCCTGGCGGCTCAGAGAGTAAAGAATCCACCTGCAAAGCAGAATCCCTTTGTCAGAAAGCTCCCCTGGATAAGGAAATGGCAACCCACTCCAGTATTTTTGCATGGATAATTCCACGGACAGAGGCGCCTGGAGTGCTACACTCCATGGGTTCGCCAAGAGTTGGACACAGCTGAGTGACACTTTGACTTTTTCACTTCACTGTCAGTCAGGCATAGAAACTTGCTTCAGGTATCAAGATTATCACAGACCAAAAGTTAATTTCATCAAACATTAAAACTTTTTCATTGGGTCAGGAGTACTGTGACATCAGTCAGTATGCTTATTTAATGAACAGCTCTTTGCTTACTTATTCAATTAAAACCTCAATACTGAGAACAAATATAGGTTAAAAGTGTCAGTGTTTGTCATCAAAATGTATGACAGATAAGGAAACAAAGAAATATAGTGGGAAAGGGTAGTATGTTGAAAGTTGACATGGACTGGTATGGAAATACATAGAATGGATATTTAACTTCCTCTGAAGAGTGATGGAAGCATTTCTGGAGGAGATGACATCTGAACTGGTCCTAAAATGATGCAGAGTGGTCACATACTCGCAGGGAAGAAGCACTTCTGACCATGTTGGAACTGCTCTTTGACTGGCTTTTTGTTGCTTTTGTTATTACAATCATACACAATGGCCTCCTTCATAGAATCCTGTCCCTCTGCTGGACTGTTAAATGAAAAGTGTCATTGTTCAGGATTCTGTCCACCTGTGGATATCTGGAAGGAAAAAATTAACACATTCCCTGCCTGAGGCTTGACATTCTAGGAGATAATCACAAGACTAATGGCCTTTTTGTTTCCTTAACTCCTGGTCTTTATTCTATAAAAGAACCTGACATCCAGACCGCAAAAGATGGTTATTTTAAGACATTAGCCAGCCATCTTGGTCAGCTGGCTTTCCAAATAGTTGTATTCCTTCCTGGTCTCAACACATCTACAATTCAGTTGGCAGGCAGAGGGAGCTTGGATTTGGTAACAACCTGTGAAGAAGGGGCATTTCTTTGGTAAATTATTCATGCATTTTTTAACACCAACTTTTCACATGTACTATAGGCCAAGTATATTGCTTAACACTACAGAACTGCTACTCTAGTGAGAGCAATTTAGAAAGAAACAACGTGCATTCTATTAATTTCAATTCTTCTGTAATCTATATCAGTCTCTTCTCATTTTCTTCTTGGTAAAAACAGGGACTTCGTCAGACTTGAAGAGAATGCAGCTTGCTTGGGAAGCACTGCTCATTTTCCTAAGTTTCAGCATTTTCCACAGTTTGTGGTGATCCGGACAGTCAAAAGCTTTGACATAGTCAATAAAACAGAGATAGATGTTCTTCTGAAATTCTCTTGCTTTTTCGATGATCTAACAGATGTTGGCAATTTGATCTCTGGTTCTTCTGCCTTTTTAAAATCGAGCTTGAACATCTGGAAGTTCATGATTCACGTACTGCTGAAGCCTGGCTTGCAGAATTTTGAGCATTACTTTGCTAACGTGTGAGATGAGTACAGTTGTGCGGTAGTTTGAACATTCTTTGGCATTGCCTTTCTTTGGGATTGGAATGAAAATTGACCTATTCCAGTCCTGTGGCCACTACTGAATTTTCCAAATTTGCTGGCATATTGAGTGTAGCACTTTAACTGCATCAACTTCTAGGATTTTAAATAGCTCAGCTGAAATTCCATCACCTCTAGTTGAAGGAGTCTTTGGGGCCTAGAGAAGAGAGCAGCAGTCTCGAAGGCCCCTTGCTGGATCATCTAACTTCAGAGAGAACAAAGCATAACTTTAGTTCCATCCTGATGCTCCAGGCCAGCTGCATCTATCTGGGACTTAACTCCCCCTGTCCGGAAACCTACCACCCCCTCCACCCGCCCAGAAGACTTATCGCCCCCTGCCCAGCTGCAAGTGTCATCTCAACAGAGGAATACTCAAATCCCGCCTGATTGATGCTTCCCTTATCGCTTCCACAAACCTCCCTGTAAGAATGAAGCCTCCCTGATCCCTTTCGGCGCTCAGCCTGGTCGTTAGGCCGACTGCCGCCCCTCCTTGCCTGAATAAAGGTAACCTACTTCTGTTGAGGTCATCTTTCCTTTCCTGCCTCGCTGGAACTGTACCTTACATTAGTTTTATCGGAGAAGGCAATGTAACACTCCTAGATAGAAGATTCAGGCCCACGGTCTATCATTTGCATGTGTGAAATTAAAGAAGCTCTGAAATATTTTGGTTTCTCATTTAAGAGAAAGGACTTTCCTTGTGGCTCAGCTGGTAAAGAATCTTCCTGCAGAGCAGGAAACCTGGGTTTGAGTCTGATCCCTGGGCTGGGAAGATCCCCTGGACAAGGGAAAGGCTAACCACGCCAGCATTCTGGCCTGGAGAATTCCATGGACCGTATAGTCCATGGGTCGCAAAGAGTCAGACACAACTAAACAAACAGCTTCCACTTTCACTTAAGAGAAAAACTTGACCTGACAGGAATTAATGGGAAGTTAATTATAATCTTTATTTATCCCATTTGTTATAATGTCAACATATTGGAAAGTTTTTGCTTTAAAAATGGGTAGAAATATTTCAAATAGACTGAAAAACACCAAAGTTTTACCTAGTGCTTTCTGCTACAGACACTTCTAAGAGCTTTCATGCATGCAATCCATGAAGGCATTTTAAAATAAATTAGCATCAAAGCATGATTTTTGTCATAAAATCAGATATCAATTCTAAGATAGGTTATTTGGTAATGAGGAACGAATAATAGGGAGCATAGAAAACAAGTCTTCACTCTCACTAACATATGTGAAAAAGTAAATTGCCTTCTTTGGACCTCAATTTCAGTGATTGCATGTGGGAAAATTAAGGAAAATATCATTAAATTCTCTTTCAGTTCTTAATCATGTGTACTCTATTTTTTAAGCATTATTCTGCATTTAAATTTTTAAATTTTTATTAATTTATTTGTTGGCTATGCTGGCTCTTCATTGCTGTGTGTTAGCTTTCTCTAGTTGTGGCGGGGGGTGGGGGTGCTATTCTCTAGTTGCAGTGTGCAGGCTTCTCCTTGCCATGGCTTCTCTTGTTGCAGAGCACGGACTCTCAGGCAGGGACTAAGCAGTTATGGCACGTGTAATCTTCCTGGACTAGGGATCTAATTCATGTCCCCTTCGAGTTCTTGGTAGGTGGATTCTTAACCACTAGATCACCAGGGAATTCCCACTGGTACTATTCTAAAAATAGCACTCTCTTGTTGTGAAGGCATGTGAGTGAAGGCAGTTATTCTTTCCTGCATCATTAACTTAGCAGTAACCATCCCACAGAAAAAGTAATGCAAGAAGGCAAAGTGGTTGCCTGAGGAGGCCTTACAAGTAGCTGAGAAAGGAAGAGAAGCCAAAGGCAAAGAAGAATGGGAAAGATATACCCAACTGAATGCAGAGTTCAAAAAAAAGAGTAAAGAGTGATAAGAAAGCCTTCTTAAGTGGACCATGCAAAGAAAGAGAGGAAAACAACAGAATGGGACAGACTAGAGATCTCTTAAAGAATATTGGAGATACCAAGGGAACATTTCATGCAAAGATGGGCACAATAAAGGACAGAAATGGTATGGACTTAACAGAAGCAGAAGATATTAAAGAAGAGGTGGCAAGAATACACAGAAGAACTATACCAAAAAAAAAAAAAATCTTAATGACCTAGATAACCACGATGCTGTGATCATTCACCTAGAGCCAGACATCCTGGAATGTGAAGTCAAGTGGGCCTTAGGAAGCACCACTATGAACAAAGCTAGTGAAGGTGATGGCATTATAGTTGAGCTATTTAAAATCCAAGAAGTTGATGCAGTTAAAGTGCTACACTCAATATGCCAGCAAATTTGGAAAATTCAGGACTGGAAAAGGTCAATTTTCATTCCAATCCCAAAGAAAGGCAATGCCAAAGAATGTTCAAACTACCGCACAACTGTACTCATCTCGCACGTTACCAAAGTAATGCTCAAAATTCTCCAAGCCAGGCTTCAGCAGTACGTGAACTGTGAACTTCCAGATGTTCAAGCTCGATTTTAAAAAGGCAGAAGAACCAGAGATCAAATTGCCAACATCCGTTAGATCATCGAAAAAGCAAGAGAGTTTCAGAAGAACATCTATCTCTGCTTTATTGACTATGTCAAAGCTTTTGACTGTGTGGATCACAAAAACTGTGGGAAATTCTGAAAGAGATGGGAATACCAGACCACCTGACCTGCCTCTTGAGAAATCTGTATGCAGGTCAAGAAGCAACAGTTAGAACTGGACCTGGCACAACACACTGCTTCCAAATCGGGAAAGGAGTACATCAAGCCTGTATATTGTCACCCTGCTTATTTAACTTATATGCAGAGTACACCATGAGAAATGCCGGATGTGCTGGATGAAGCACAGCTGGAATCAAGGTTGCCAGGATATATACCAATAATCTCAGATATGCAGATGACACCACCCTTATGACAGAAAGCAAAGAAGAACTAAGGAGCCTCCTGATAAAAACTAAAGAGGAGAGTGAAAAAGTTGACTTAATACTCAACATTCAGAAAACTAAGATCATGGCATCTGCTCCCATCACTTCATGGCAAAAGATGGGGAAACATTGGAAACCCTGAGACACTTTATTTTTTTGAGCTCCAAAATCACTGCAGATGGTGAGTGCAGCCATGAATTTAAAAGATGCTTGCTCCTTGGAAGATAAGCTATTGCCTACCTATGAAGCATATTAAAAAGCAGAGGCATTACTTTGCCACCAAAGCTCCATCTAGTCAAAGCTGTGCTTTTTCCAGTAGTCATGAACACCTGTGAGAGTAGGACTATAAAGAGAGCTGAGCATTGAAGAATTGATGCTTTTGACCTGTGATGTTGGAGAAGACTCTTGCATTCCTTTGGACTGCAAGGAGATCAAACCAGTTAATCCTAAAGGAAATCTGTCCTGAATATACATTGGAAGGACTGATGCTGAACCTGAAACTCCAATATTTTGGCCACCTGATGTGAAGAACTAACTCATTTGAAAAGACCCTGATGCTGGGAAAGATTGAAGGCAGGAAGGAGAAGTGGATGACAGAGGATGAGATGGTTGGATGGCATCACCAACTTGATGAATATAAGTACACTCCAGGAGTTGGTGATGGACAGGGAGGCCTGGCATGCTGCAGTCATGGGGTCATAAAGAGTCTGTCACAACTGAGTGACAGAACTGAACTAATTACATTATTACCCATGGTCTTCTGGAATGTAATGCCATCAAGCACAAGACTTTAAGGTGACCAATCAATCCCTAAAGGAAAAAAAAAATGACAAAAATGCAGTCTCTTGGATAGGCTGACTTCTTCTAATTGCTCTGTAAAGCTTGACAAAGGATAATAATCCGGAAATTTTCCTTACTTTTGGTTCAAGTCAATGGTAAGTGTTGAATAAATGTCCATAAGTGTATTAAATAATTTTTCTTCATTTAAAACTAGAGGAATGAGGTAGCTCAAATCCAAGTGCAAAATTTAAATGTTATCTTACCTCATAACAACGTAATTGAATTTACCCTTTTCCTTGGCTTGCCTGGTTTTGTTTAATTTAAAGTAATAATTAGGAAATAAGAAGTCCTTGAAAATTGGAGTGGAAAATACATAGAAAAAATGAGAACAAATCTAACTATCCCAAATCTTTA